TTATTGATAACTTGAGTATTACCTTATGATTTTGGATCTTCATATATTCACACAAAAATAATTTTTTGCTTTTTGCAATAAACAATTATCCACTGACAGGTGCCATAGTGAACTATGATCAAGGTATAAAATGAGCAGTAATGATGGGTTATCCTCCATTTCTAATCCAGAAATGATTAGCTCAATCCAAATATCTCATTTTGCACATTGTTTGCTTTTTATTGTTGTAATTTGTTTGCATGATTATATCCTCTACTAATGTTAAATTATGTTAAGGCTGAAATCTTTCATAGTCTGTTTCTGGAATATATATGTACAGTAGATTCTCGTTTAACCGACCTTCGCTTATCTGACATTCCGTCTTATCCGACGCCCCTAAAAAAAACACAACACGCATAAATCAGCAACGAGAAAAGTGTGCTGCTTGTTTGTGAGCGTGAGGTACTTTTTCTTGTTGCTCCTGACGGTGCGGCGCCGCAATGCAAAAATCGATTGCAATAGGCACAGCGGATTGTTTCTTTTCTTTTTCTTTTTACTGCACTCAATCGTTACTGTGTGTTATCCGACATTTTCGCTTATCCGACGTCCGCCCGTTTATGTCAGATAAGCGAGACTCTACTGTATATGTATATTAGGTTTGATCTGACAGGTTTGGCATGCTCCAGGTTCCATTGATTAAACAGTGCCACCTATCGGGACCCCAGAAGGGCGCCTTCTCTGTAGCAGCACCTGCCTCTGGAATGAGGTTCCTCCTGAGATTCGAATGGCCCCCACCCTACTGGTGTTTCAGAGGGCCCTGAAAATCTGGCTCTTCACTCAGGCCTTCGGAGAGGATGATTGGTGCTACTTTCTTCCTTTCTGTCCCCCTCTGGGTTTATTTTCTTTGCCATTGTTGATCTTTGGTCTTTTGCTGTTTTTCTGTTTATGTATCGTTCTTTATTTTTAAATGTTTTAACAATTGTAAACTGCCCAGAGTCTCTGGGAGTCAGGTGGCATATAAATTTAATAAATATTTAAAGCATATAGACTGTTCCTAAATGATTGCTGAAACATGATATGTGTATGTGTGTGCATATGTGCATGTCTTTTAATTTAAAGTTAAGAGTGAACTGAACTTTTAATTTAAAGTTAAGAGTGTTATTTAAAGAAAAACAAAAAGACAAAATGTTTCTACCGTTCCTTAATCAAGTGGGACAATAATTATGTTCACAACTTGGAAAAATTAAAGAATTCATGATAGACAGTAACATCTAGATGTCTCTAGTGAAATAAGAACAATTGTCAAGAAAGGAACAGTTGTCTCAAAGGGGTCACAAGGCATCTTTGTCACCTGTGAATAGATCCCTGGATATAGTTAAATTTTATGTCAGTTCAATGATATAGTGTCCATCACTACACTGTAGGGCCCAGCTAGTTAAAAGGACTTATGGTAGGTTGTGTGAGATCTATCCTACAACGGAAAAGTTGGAAAGCTGAGGAATAACTGCCAGGAAGCTCCCACTATTGTCATCCTGAATTTGCTGTTTAAAATTTTCTCCTTACTTTGCCTAATTTTATGTTTGGCTTTATTTGGCTGGACTTTCTAATCAGGGCAGTGCAAAATCTTGTGAGTTGTCCCCCTAATGTTATCCATTAGTTATGGATAAACGGTAGGTGATATTCCTGCTCTACAACCTTTGCCTTTCTTATTTTACTTAACTTTAAAAATATACAGCCTTTCTGTTTCAACCAATCTTTTGATCTTTAAGATGAAATCACTGAGCCTTCTTTACACAACTGATTTCAGAGCTGAAGGATGTTTGTGTCTCTTAAGTTAGTAAAGACTAATGGTTATGGGTGCTCTGGAGAAAGTGATAAATACAGAGTATTAAAAAAAAAGTTGGGGCTGGGGGGAAACAGCAACCATCTCCAAAGATACTTGGGTCAAGAAGATGTTAGTTGATAGATTGCTCCTTCAATCACTGATAACATTTGGCACAGTTTTATTGTCCATAGCACTTTTACAGGTACTCCTTGTTTAGTGACTGACTTGATTAGCAACCATTTGCAGTTATGATGTTGATGAAAAAGTAACTTTACAAACAATCCTCGCATTTACGACCTGTGCAGGTCTATAAAGCAAAGGAAAGCTGAAGTAAGATCATAAGCACAGTCACAGTTTCACTTAGTGACCACTTTGCTTAGTGACCAAGATGTTGGTCCTAATTGTGGTTGCTAAATGAGGACTACTTGTAATTATATGAGGGAGAGGAGGAAATCCCATTTTATCTTTCTTTTTAGTGCTAAGCCTAATTTTTGAAGCAAAGTTTTCTCAGTAACAAACCCAACATCCATGGAACTGTCATCAATTTTAATCTTTCTCTACTTCTGTCACAACAGACTATAATTCTGCTACTGTGATGGAAGATTCTTTTACAGCCATTAGTTGTAAATAACTTTTTTTAAAGGAGAATTCTTTGAAGTATTTTTTTTTTCTGCCTATAGCTGGAGAACAATAATTTTCTATTTTAGATTTTGTATTGTTTGAAATGATGCTCTGTTCCTGGGACTTCATATTGATAAAAGCTTCATTTATCATTGAACTGGGTAGAGTAGAGAGTGCAGTTCTATCGCCAACATAACAGTCTCAAATTAGAATCCTTTCATTCCGCTTAATTGTTGATAATGTTTGCTTTGGTATTCTGTCTTTTAAATGAGCTCTTATCATTTTATCAGCTCTCGTTTCATTTCAACTTACTTTATCTGTCTCACTTGAACACATAATAGAGGCAAACAGATTTTGTTCCCCATTTTTAAATATACCTTTTGGAGTTTTGCAGACTGTATGTAGATATAGATGTTCTTTCTTTTCTATTTTACCCACCTGCGTAATTTAATTTTTTTTCATCTGACAATTTTGTGGCTCCATTTAACTGCTAATTAAAAAGGAAAGCAATTGCAAAAAAAAAAAAAAAAATCAACCACCACCAATAACCTACTTTGGCACTCAACACTGATGACACAAATTAGTAATAATGATAGGTGAAGCATTACACTTTAGTATACTCTCAATATGGCTTCGTTTGTTCTATTTTTATTTTATATTCTGGTCCAAGTACATTCCTTTTTTATGAGGAATTGCTTGCTTAACAAAGCTTTTAGACTAAGCACTGAAAGGCTTGATCATGTCTAAATTTTTCATGCTCAGAGTGAGAGCATTGTACAAATACAATTGCATTTTTAAGTGCATTTTGGAATGTAGGAATATATTGGCACATAGGTCACATTTTTTGGATCTAATATTATTCACTAAATTCACTAAAATTAATACTTCACATTTATTTGGACATCATTGTATCTTTTTAGGACAATGGTAACTTTGACTAATTGGAGATGTGGTGCTCAGAGTGAAACAGTCATACATATTATTAATTTTGTTCAGAAGACACTGATTTTCTGCCAGTATAGATATGGATAAACCAGTCATTTAGAAACCAACAGGAAAAAAATTATAATGCATGTTACATGTCTTTATGGTTGCAGAAAAATTGATTCTACCAAAGCTGGAACAGCATTCAGTTTCTGTCAATTATATAATTGTCTGAAGAACTGACATTTCTTTCTATATTAGAACAAGCATTTTGCACCAGGAGTTCTAGTTGTATTTAGACTGCATATATTAATTCATATGTATTTCCCTTTTTCTGCCAATTGCTAAATAAACAAAAATTAATTATGACTTGGATATATTAGCTTTACTAGTACATAAAATATACAACTTTTTGCAAGTTTTTGTTATGATATCTGTCCACTAATGGAATTTCATTCAGATAATGGTCAAGATTCATCTACCTCCTTTATTCCTTGTACAATCCCAAATCTTTTCAGCATAATCAGAGATCATCCTGGAGCAGAAGTTTCTAACTAGAACTGGGGAATTTCCAGGCGTTTGAGCAGAAATCCACTAACATAATGTTGGATGTAATTCACAGACTGGACCAATTCTCTCTCCCCACCCTACATTTCTTTAAAATAATTTATGTAAGATATAAATATAAGAAAAGCTGTGTGCAAAAGAGAATCACACAAACAGTTCAGAGGTCACTTTATTTTACAGTACTTCAAGAAATGGTTATTTTAATTGTAACTCTTATTCATACTAACGCCAGACTCAGGATCTGGGTTATAATGGGTTATATAACCAAAGTGAGACTTATGAGGAAGAACCAACTATCAGTAAACTGAGAAGAAACCAAGGTTCACAGAAGTTAAGACAAATATTTAACAGGAAAAAAAATCATGAGGACACACACACAAATAGATTAATGAGATTTGAACAGAATGCTGACTGACTGTTGAATGTGTGTGGAGGAAATAGAAAACAGAGGCCTGGAAAATGGAATATTTGGAGGAGCATTTTTTAAGCTGGAAAACTGAGTAAGTGCATTCTACGCTGAAGCACCTTATTGCAAGTTACACCCTTCCCTTCATTACACAACCTTATCTAATTCTCATTCCTTCCTCTGGGGTCCATAATGAAAGGAAGTGATGAAATACCTAAACTCAGTGAATACTTTTGATTCAGCAACAGACACGAGAATTATGCCAAGCCTGATTGAATACCTGTTAAGGAATCTGGATACAAATTGAACTGTATGTGCTGACATTGTGGCACCTTATTCACCAGTACTAGACTTTTTGATATGGTTGATTGACTAACCAATCAATAAATTTAAACACCAGTACAAGACAGTTAGATTACATTCATCAATTAATACTCATTGGTCACTATCCCATCCCTGATGGGAATTCTTTGGATACTTGTTTCGAGTATACCCTAATGATAAAGGGATTCAGTCAGCAGTGTGAATGACTGAATATATCTTTTCAGAAGAATAACATATCTTTCAGGATTCTTTTCCTTTTCTCCATGTGTTCACAGTAGTACCCAAAGTGATGTAATTCTACTCCAGCAATAAACTAAGATTATTAAGTAAGAATTGTCTGATTATCTTTCATAGGGAGTGCTGGGACACCTGTTATTTTCAATGAAAATGGAGATGCACCTGGACGTTATGATATCTTCCAGTATCAAATAACCAATAGAAGTGCAGAATATAAAATCATTGGCCACTGGACAAACCAACTTCATCTAAATGTAAGTTTGTATATATTTTTAGTGATATTGTTTCAAACATATGGGCTCACTTAAAGAAAAGTAATTACCTTTTTTTTAAATGTCCTTGTTTCTTGGTGCTTCTACATTTATTCAAAGTGAGTTTCAGTGTTAATTGATTTATTGATTTAGAATTAATACTTAGAATGAGTCAACTCAAGTCACAAGAGTTTAGATGCATATGATTAGGGGAGAGAGCCCAGAAGAGTGTTCCCGGGAACAATAAATTTCCTTGGAAGACTGTTGGAATCTTCAGTTTAATGACTGACATGCTGTAACATCATTCAAACATTGTCTGTGAGCTGAACAGCCTTCATGAAAGATAATTCTCTCAGTGACTACTAATCTTTTACATTCTTCATTCATCCAGACCAATGTTAGACCAGGCCATGAACTGCTGTGAAATAATTATATACATCAGAGTTTTCTTCTATATGTCGATATTCCATTGCAGATACTCAGTGACAAACCAATTGATATTTAAATATAAAATAACAAATTAAGAAATATCAGATTAAGCAATAAACTCTGATTGGCCAAAAAAAGATTCATACAATACTGTATGAATCAGTTAAATCCCAATTAATTTAATAGGACTTTCATCAGGTTAAATGGGTAGGGTAGCAAGTGTAATATGTTGTACTTCTAATATTTTTGATAGCCAATAATGTTCCTAAGCGATAACCAACTTAGAGTACCATCACATACATGGTTTCTCAACATCTGGTGACAGAAAAAATAACTTTTCTAATACTGAACTCAAGCAGTAAATGTCATCAGAAATGAAGACCCTAACCCTAACCCATTTTATACCTGGTCTCACATGTAGCAAGCTCTACCTCAATGTACTAGATGATTTCCTTCATAGCTTTAGAAATTCTGACAGGCGTTCTTTCAGAGCAGCTAATGTGCATCTACTGTATATTCAGCCAAGGCATAATGTACTTTTTAAATAACAGGATTGCTTAAACATGGTTGCCAAGGATAGAATTCAAATATTGCACAAACTCATAGTGTGATTCTGTTTTAGTATGATGGGTGAAAAAAGAAGGGATTTTGTTATGAAAAGCTTACTATTCCTATATGTTTGTGTCCAAAATTCACTTGAAATATGTCCAGAATACTGCAAGTCCTTTGAGGAATGTAAAGGTTTTCTTTAAGATTCTCAAAACATAAGATAAGTATATTTTATTGCAAATTTAGCAGGGGGTGCAACTTTCAAGGAGTTGTGATAGAATTGAATTGCTTTCAACTTAGTAAAATCTGAATTAGTGGCTCAGAGTTGCCCAAATATGAGTTTCCTTTTCTACACATTTCCTGCCCTATCCCTGCTGGAAGTGAAAGAAAATTCTAACAATTTAACTTTCCAGGACAGTTGGATACTCCAACCATTTCTCTGAAATATTTATATACCCATATACTAGAGTTACCAGACAACAGCTGCAAAAATACAGACAACCACTAGATGACAGGAAAGAGTTAGCATTTCCCATATCTGGTGTTATCTAGTGGTCATGCAGACTTTTGCAGCTCACATCTGGTAGCCCTAAACTTCTAGGTAAGAAGTATACTGCAGTTTATGACATTTATAAATTACAGTTTATAGACAACTGCTGTACTAGAAATATTTAAGCAGGTTATGAAATGGACTTCTGACTATGATCATGGAAAATTGCAGTGAACCTTAATATACAATAATGGATGGTTAAAAGAGTGAACAAATAATCTGAGTTTGTATCCTAAATTTGGCATGATAACAAAGTCCCTGTTTTTCAGGGTAGGCAGATTCAAAATACTCTGATGTGACATAGCACAATATGTCTTTTTATCAAAGTTTAATCAGAGGCATCCATTTGATCATATTAAGGGATAAATGGATATTACTGGATAGTTATATCTGAGAGAACAGATGGATATAGTAGCCAGGGCATGATAATCTGAATGCTAGTATCATAACTTTTCTTGTCTCAATCCTGCATCAAATATTTAGATTTATTTTACAGGTAACTGTTGTTCTACAGACATCAGCCCTGGTTCCTTCAGTCTGTTGTGCTGCTTCTCCATCTATAGATATGATAGCAGCTTTCCTTTCTGGGTAGAAAATGCTGAGTCTGCCCTGGAAAAGGCATTGCAAAATCTTAAGGATATCTATGTCAGCAGATTTTGCCGACTTTAGGATTTCCTTTTAGTTACAGAATTGCTTTCTGCCTTTATCCCTTAGTAATGTAAATGCACACTCCCCCTTCATGTTCTTTTCAAAGCAGGTATAGCTTTTAGGAATACACACACACACACACACACACACACACACACATAGAGACACAACTTATACATACACATACATAGACTTTTTTAAAAAAAAAATAACAGGTACCATTCAAGATTAAAGCAGGCTTTTTACTTTCCATGAAATATGACATGTTTGACACAACAATAGTTAATGCAG